AGGAAGCACTGCTATTCCCAGTGACAAGATAGTGATCCTGAAGAGGATTTGCTGCTTGCTCACTCCGCCCTGCGATCTCGGTGCAGTCAGGGCTGTTGTTTCCCAGCCTCAAATCAAAAATGATTTTCTTTGAACTGAGGGGAAGCCACATGGGGAAAAGTGGTGAGAAGCCTTTGGACTGGTGTGGATCAACATCAATGGCAGCAGGATGTTGCGGTGCATGGAAGAGGGCTCTTACTGTGACACTTGATCATCCTCCTAATCATATCTCCAATAATACAGTCTGCTGTGCCCATGGGTCTGCAACCTTTCTTTGAAAGGTATACTTGTTGCAGGAAATGATAGAAATGCTGTTTCTTGCAAATGATTGATGGGAAAAGATGAATATGCTGGCAATGCCTTTGAATCACAGTGGGAAGTACACAGCCCAGCAAAGATAAAAGAACCTGGGTTCCCACAACTGCCAGCATGTGCTACAGCCCACTGTGGCGCAAATAAGCTATGATGGGCTGCCGAGATTAGTTGAACATGCCCATTAATTTATACTAAATAAAGTAGCAGTGCATAATTATAGATGAGGGGATGTCGTCTGTACAATAAGCATGTAAAAACGAGGCTTTGTTGCGATGGGGGCGGCATAAAAATGTTTTAAATAAATAAATAAATAAACTTCCTTTTATTAAAACAATTTGATAGTTTTGTCAAATAGACCTTCCTAGATTTGCAAAAGCACTCCTTGTTCCTTCCACTCTTGGGTTAATTATATAGAGACACATTTATTAATACTTTCTTCCATTTAAGCTTCCAATGGTATAGCTGACCCCACCAAAGAAATGAATAATACTTCAGAAAAATGTCTTTAAAATCTCTTGTTGAGCCATGGCAATTTATAGACTGCTTTTTTGTTCAATCAATTTTGAAAGACCACACAATAGTAATTAAACATGTTTCTCCTCTGTTAGAAACTTAACTTACTCATTCTGTGAATTACTATAATATACACCTACGTATCCACATGAAATAGGATGTTGCAATAAAAGTGTTAAAATTAAATAAGAGTTCTAACAGAAACAGCAGCAGTTTTGCTTTCCCTGGTCCTAACTCTTGATAGTTTGTTAAAAACTGAGCCATTCATACATGTATTTCGAGTTGTACATATTCCTTGGTTATAATACGGAAGTACTACTATGTGCATTGCATGGCCGCATTTTGAAAATGAGTTTCTGATGGAAATTACTAGAATCCAACCAGGATGATGGGTCCTGACTTAAAGTACATTTTAGAGCAATATTGCATGAACTGTAAACCATATTGCCTGCCAAATCTTTTACAACAGATGTAAGGTGACTTACCCTATTGTATTCCAGCTGTGCATTGTATCCACATGTGAATGTACCTGCTGTTACCATATTGTTATTTAACCATGTCAAAGGGATACATTGACTTAATTTAGAATGTTCTGAAAGTACATCTAGCCATGGGATCAAGTCGCTCCAAATTATGGAATTATGGAAATGACTGGACAACCTCACCAGGCCTTCTTGGACAACATGATAAATCATGGTTTAGTTCAGATGTGAGTCAACTTGCATACATCCACATATTTTGGTCTACATCTTCCAACATCTCTGATTGTTGTGATGTACAAAAGAGGTCATTACATATCTGGAAGGACAAGCTGCTGTAAGTTTTTTCATATGAAAACTGAATAAATTATTGTAATGTACTTGTCCTCTAGTGATGAGAGTTCAGTTCAGTTCACAGGGATGAAAGCAAAGCCTGCTTCACAGAAGTTGGGTCTTCATAAAGGAAAAGAATGCTTATCATCAATATGCATCCATATGTAGCTCTGTGAGAAGCTGCATTGCTCACTGCACAGCTGATACACAAACACCTGTGCATCTCACTTCACCACTGAGAAAAATATCGCATTCTTACAAACCAGTAGACTGTGGCTTGACATTAGGTTTATTCTTCTCTGCGGATTGACCCTGGTAGGCCCTGTTTTCATTGTTAACAAGGGAGGCTTATGATTCTCGTGTCAGTGGAAACCCTCATCCATTGAAGCTTTATAAGACCTCTCCTTTGTGCTGAACTCCATTCCCAACATAAGTTAACCGACCTGGAGCACTGTGAATAGATTATATAAAGATGAAAATAAAAGCTGTGATGGTTGCAGAGATAACAGAGGAGTCCTCAGCGTCTCCTGGTTGTTACCTATAAAAACTGCTGTTGTGTCTGACAGGTTGTCTGTATTTAGTGATGTTACAGTAAGAGATTAAGAAACGGTGAATTAAGAACTGAAGTAGATTTACAACAGTATCTCTTTGCACTAACCAGTCCCAAAGGGGACAATCACATGGTGAAACAATGTCCAAATAAACACATGATGGATGTTGATGTGGTACCATACTCACTTCCAACCATTTATGTAAAATATTGTGGCTTACACTGTATGCATAAACAAATTTGTATGCCACATTGCCATGCATTTTAATCTTCACTAAGACTTGTGAAATACACTAAGATTAGTGTATTTACACTAATTTTGTAAATACACAAATTATAATCCCTAAAACTACCATTGGCTCATCTGCAAAGTATAAAAAGACAGATATCCAAGGGAATGCAGAGCTTATGCACCAAAGTGCAGGGTGTTTTTTTTTGTTCTGTTTTTGTTTTGTGCTACCTCCAAATACAAAAATCAAATAAGGTTACACTTACCTAGGAGGAAGATTCCCTGAATGTTATGGAACTGAGCAGACATGCTATATGAGCACACTGTGAATAAATTGCTGTGTATTTCAGCAGCTCAGAGAGACTCCATCAACATACCTCTGGCACGATTCTGCAAGTCATAACCAGACATCTTGAAAACATTTCGGGAAAAAGGGAATTCCTTCTCCCTAAGATCACTCATGCCAATGATTAAAGGAGACAGGAGTCTTGTTCTATGCTCTTTTGCTTTTGGGATAGTAAGTTGGCAGCTGCCCAGCTGGGCAAGATTTAGCATTTGGTCTAAGGGGCACCAGTTGCTAAACTTCAGTATGAGCACACAAGAAAAGCACCACTGGTCCAGGTCAATGGTCCATCCAGTCTAGCATCCTGTTTCTGCAATTGCCAGGCTGATGCTTTAGATAAACCAGCAAGAAGGACATGAAAGTAAAACAGGTCTGTTGCTGTTCATTTCATCAGCTGGTAGTGGCTAGACGTGGACAGACCTTTCTGTTTATACCTCATAGTAGTTTTCTGTTCATTTCCTCACATTTTCATTCCCTTTATTTCCACATTGATCTGTTTAAAAAACAAAGCTACAAAATATCTTACTGTTTAAAAGGTATTTTTGTGATAACCAATCAAAGATAATTCCTCTAAGTTACATTAGACTTTTTAAACTCTTTGAGAACACTACATATTTTCTAGCTTGGCTGTGAACAAGAGACAGCTGGCTTATCATAGAGGCTGAAGCCTTTCTCATTTATAGTTTCAGGTTCAATTATGAGTCCATCACTAATACTGATCACATCTTACACCATTAAAAACAAAACTTGCCTGCCTATTCTATGGCTTGGCTCACAACTATCCTTGTCTTTTATTCTTTCCACTTCCCCTTCCTTTCTTCCTTTCTTCCTTCCTTCCTTCCTTCCTTCCTTCCTTCCTTCCTTCCTTCCTTCAAATTATATTTTCCCCTCCATGGCTTGGGCTCATCAGATGCATATGATAGCTGGCTACTCCCTTGCTTGGTAATGCTGTATTTACTTTCAGATGAAGTAGTGAGTCCAGCGAACTTTATGTTTATGCATGGCCTCTCCCATTTTACTTTAGAAAATTTGCATTTTGTATGCATATTTATCCTAAGTATGCATTTTTATCCTTAAACATCATTTGGTATGAATTATAAAGTACATAGATTGATACCCATGCTGAAGCATATTCTGAATCAAGAACTGCATTACAAAATTCTGAGAAGTACAGAAACAGAGTGATAACTTTTTGGATCCATGTATTAATGCGGAAAGAATGAATCAAGCCAATAGTATACTGAACTCTGAAGTTAGATATTTCATATAGGAATCATGGCTAGCAGCCATTGATAGAGTCATCTTTCATGGATTTGGTCTGATCCCCTTTTAAGCAAGTGACTAATGTCACATCGTGTAGCAGGGCCATGAGTTAACTGGTCACAGTTTTATACATATTTGGACAGAACAAGTCCTACAACTCCAAGCATTCCTCAGCCAGCATCAGTTTGTGGCCTTAACAATTTAGCTTGTAAACATATGCTGTAATTGCACTGCTTAAATTTTGATAAAAGTAATCTGGTCATTATACCTTGGGAAGTGTTTAGAATATTGATATAAAGAATATATGGAATGTATTTTTATTGCTAAATAGGTGACATGTGGATATGAAATAGTCCCATATCTTTGAAGACAAATCACAAGATTTGCTGATACAAAACATTTTGGCAGTTGCTGCTTATTTGTCATTAATTATTGATATTTGTATATATTCTAGGTAAACATTCAAAAACCCTTAAAGGTGTATTTCAAATTCAAATCACTTCCCATGGGAAGATGCTCAGCCTATTTCAGAAAAATATTTGTAAAACACTCCAGCATCCTGCAGTTCCAACAGAAGTTTGAGCTTTCACAGTCAGTTACCAGTTAATGATCTTTGTCTCAGAGAATGTATAATGTAATTTGTACAGATACATTTTTAAAAAAAGATAAAAAGTACACTTTTCTCCGAGATATTTCCTCTTCGTTTGCAACAGATAATTTCCATTATTCTAATTCTGAAATAATGATATGTTAGAAGTTAGGGCCACTTTACAGGAAATGATGGCCCCATGCTTTGGAATCCAGTTGTATCTTCCTGAGATATGTCTTGTGTTCTTTACTTCAGAAAAGATGGAGTGGGCATGCTTTAGAAATCCTTTTCTGTAACACGCAATTCTTAATTTAGCCATTGTATAATACTAATCTTTCTCTTTCCAGGTTGGCAAGACTTGTTTAGGCAACAAAAACAATTCGACCTCCCTTCAGCTAAAAGTGACGGAAACAGACCCCATTTTGCAGGTACCGCCCCCATCATTCTTACACTTTCTGACCTGATTACTAAATTTTCGAATTTCAATTTCCTCAATGGCTTTCTTTTTCTGATGGATCTGTAAGTGGTGGTATAGTACTAAAGGCTTACTTTGCTGTTCCCACTGCATCTTTGAAAGCTGTCCAGTGGACCTCTTTTGGGTAGTCTGGGGTGAGGTTGGGCTAACACTTCCCAGCAACTTTGCCCTGATCCCCTCAAGAACTCACTGTGACTGTTGTGCATCACATGTAGAGGACAAAACTGCACATCCCTGCAATAAACTTGACACTGTTGCTCATGCAGCAGGATATCTGATGCCATGATGTACCTGATTTTGTAGGATCAATTTCAATACATGTTGCCTATACGAAGTGCTTGTAGCACTTCAACTGACCATTTGTGGTCCCCATTCTTGCTCCACCTGGCTAATAAAAGCTAATAAAGGCTATGATTTGTGGGAGGTGTGGGTTTACAGGGACTGGGAAATGCATCTTTTTGAAAAGGGGTGATTCCTGTTGTCCTTAAGGAGGTAGTACTACAACCATGCTGGAAGAATCCTGTTATGGATCCTCTGGTTTTGATAACTACCATGAATCACAAGTACCCCTTTCTTTGAGAAGATACTTGAGAAGATGATGGTAGAGCAACTGTAGGCACTCTTGCAGCACAGTGATTATCTCAATCATTCCATTCTGGGTTTTGACCTGATTATAGGAACTAATCGGTCTTGTTTACCCCAGTAGATGACCTTTATCGGGAAAGAAACAAGAAGGTTGCAAGCATGTTATTCTGCTTGATGTTTCTTCAGCTGCTGGTACCATTGACCATAGTAGGCTTCTGGACTGACTCTGTGGGTACATTCACACATAAGGCTAAACCATGCCATGTGGTACCTGAAAGCCACATGCTAGCAAGGCAGAAAGGAGCATCCAATCACAGCACTGCTGTCTATAGCTCAGTAGTTGCTATGTATATTTTTGCAACAATGAATGAGGCAGGAGCATCCCCTGCAGCCATGGCCACTTCTTCCACAGAACTCTGTGATAACACCATGAAAACCATGGAAAGACAGTTTCTTGTTTCAGGCACAGAAACAAGCCATAGTGAAATGTTGGAGGCCCCTTCTAACTGCATGATGCTATGATTCTGTGATCTTGGCCTCATGTTGCTGTAAAGTAGACAAGCCTTCCTTATTTTCTACCACCATTAGCAGTTGTCCTGTTCTGTGGTCAAGGTGGGGCAATACAGAGCCATTGTTACAATCCATTTCTTCCTCCTTCCACCAGCCTGCTTATTTGAAGAAGAGGCAGAGTTTCAGTATTGCTTCAGCTGAGTCAGTGATCATCACAGCCAGTCAGCATCACTGTTTTTTAGTCAGAGAGGGAGAGACAGAGTTTGTGAGTTCTTAGTCATATTTGCATGACTGAGACTTTGCAGCAGTAAACTACGTGTTGTGCTGTTCTCCTGATTCACAGAAGAACAGGAAAATCTCCCTTGCTGGTACCCAGGTCCCAAGAGTCTTCCAAGGTGTAAAGTCCAATGTCTACCTTGCAAGGGAGCCTGTTTCTTACCAGTGCTGAGTTCACTACTCTTTTTCTGGCTTAGAGGAAGGAAAATATACTTCCTTGGTGCCCAAGCCTGGAGATCCACAGCAAGACCTTGTTGCAAGCCACATATATAATATTGTAATTGTTTTTTCTCCTTCTATTACCAGAAGTCACACAGTCCTCCATGGATCAAACCAGAAATGAAAAAGTCAGCAGAGAGAAAAGAAAACAACCCTGATGAGTTGACCAAAATCAAGGAAAAGCCTCTGTAAATATCATCCAGCTATCTTTAGAGCATTCATTTGCAATCGTCTTCATCTTTTTAGTCCAGAGGCATGAAACTGTATCAGATTTCTAAAGCATGCATTTTTCCACTATTTTATGGATGTTTGTAAATTAGACTAGAAATTTCTAAAATAGATTGATTAGTATCTTTTAGCAATAATCCAAGAGAAATGGATGTTTGAAAAAGAAAACGCTTTGTAATACAGTCCAGTTTTTTGAAATATTATTCTGCCCTGATCTGTAACTTGCTTATTATAAATCACTCTGTTTTGTAAAGAAATGCTATTAAGAATTTTTATTTTATTAACCAATCCTGTTTCATAAGTATCGTTATTGCACATACTAAGCTCAGTGATTCTTGATGCACAGAAATTCCACCAGACGCATTAAGACAGCCATGGTTCAACACTCAGTCGTCTCAACTGTCTGATTGTCAAGTGCTGTTTAATGTTCATATTGTTCCAAATACAGTTCTATGTAAGTGGCAATCTCTCTCATCCAGACAACTTATCTGAAAGATTTTGGTATCTAATATATTCAGATAAAGTAGATACTTCAGTTCTTTCAGACCAATTCATAAGTCTATAAGTGAATAGGACTTAAATTAAGCACAATCAGGGCACAGTCTAGAGGCTTTTTGATATCGCCCTGCCCCTTCACAGCTGGCATAGAAAGAACCAGTCCAGCTGCCTCCCTGGGGGTCTCAGAGAGAACAAAAATGGGGCTCCAGGGACATGGAGGGCAGAAGCCTGGAGCTGATAGCTTCCACTGATTCCTATCAGTGGCCCAGGCACCTCCCCCTCCTGAACTTCATCCGAATGACTAAAATAACCATCTAAATAAAGTAGCACAACGCAGGGCGGAGATTTCTGCTGCCATGCCTTGCTCCATGCATCAGATGCCTGTAAGTCTCCAGGTTCAGAGGCATCCATGTGCATCTACATGGAATTGCTCCCATGATTACTAAATCCCACTCTGAATACTTTGGGACAGACCTATCTTTAGGCAGAGAAAAGCTAGGTTTGACTTACAGCACAATGCTGTAAGTGGGATGCAGTGGGACTTATTCACAGGTAAGTGCATCTGGGACTGCAGCCTTGCAGGGCAAGCCCGTCACCACTAGACAGTGTTTGGACCACCACAGGGATTTTTGGATTCTCACCTGCAGCTTTAGAAGATGGCTCTGATATGAGAGCTGGTGAACCACCTTTGGATGCCACACACATACAATGTGCCAGCTCTTCTTTGGGGTTTTAAGGATGGCCTTGACGAAGGGCTTTTGGGGGTCATGTGGGGCAGGGAGTAGGGAGACCAGTGCTACCAAGATATGATGTATCCTGTGGGTACCTCAGCCTCCTTCCCTCCTGCTCTGAAGAACCACAATTATAAAGCCCCCAACTGGCCATGCAAGTGCTTTGCAAAGGCAACTTCTACCTCTGTGCTGCTTTTGTCCAGCATAGGATGCACATGGGGTCCTATAGGATGTGCTTCTTCTGGCCATAGGCTTTCTCCATAGGACTACCCATTTAGTGTCCTCTTTAACTATGGAGTAATATGGACTATATGTCATACAATTATATTTTTATGAAGTATTCATAAGTATATGTATTCAAAACACCATCTTTTGCATTAATACCAACTTTGGAAGACATATGTGGCCATGAGGCTATAAGGAAGACCATAAAGGCAGAGTGTTTAACTCCAGTTATGTACTTTCAACATTCCTTCAGCTAGACACGCAAACACATCCATGCTTCTGGGAGAATTGCTTTCATTTCTTTCCAAAAATAGTTCACGGGATTCTCTTTTCAGAATTAATGTGGTAACATACCCATAGTATAAATGCTGTGTAGTACTGGCAGTAAAATTTATAATCGGGTCCAGGGCCCAGTGATACACTCCTCAAGTTCAAATCCCTGAAGCCTATTCCAAATTGAGTGTAAATTCAGTTAAGTTTAGGGTATACTTCTAAATTCTTTCCCCACTTTTTAAGTCTTCCCTGCAGCTACTGCCCCTTCCCTTTATGACAATGCAAGTGGCAGGCAGCAATTTTAAAAAAATCCTTGCATCATGACTTACATTTTAGTTATGAGTTCATTCCAAGAACTGAATGAACTACATTCCCAATTATAGCATCAGATACATAAAAATAACATTGGATAGTTTCATCTCCAATCCCTACCACAAGACATCTACTTAAGTTGAGCCCCACTATCTCTTGTCACCTTTGTCTCCTGCCCGCAAGTTACTGGTTGGCAGTGATGATGGAGAACCCCATGGCCTCAGGAACAGTAAGGAATGTAGCTTCCATAGATCCTCAATAGTGCTTCTGCTGGTCTCAGCACTAGCCCTGACATAGAATAAGATCATAGAAAGGTTTGGAGAAAATGTAGATTCTGATCAGTGGAGAACTGCTTGGAAGTTTTAGGGAGAAAGACTCCAGCATACTGGAGATAACAAGTCAGATAGCTCGATTTGGGATGGGCGTATAATTGAAGTGACCTGATTCCATCAACTCGCACAGAGCACAATTATTTTTCCCAAAAGCATTCTACATTTAATGGCATGGGTGGGGATAGTTGTGGTTGGAAACATAACTCACCCATCATACATTGAGATGTACGAATCAGCAAAACTGAAACTTGCCAAAGTATTCCAAATTCTATCTTCAACAGAACTTGGTCCAACAGAACTTGGTCCAACTCATGACTACAAAAGATTTAGGGCTGTCTCTCTCTCTGTCTCTCTCTCTCTCTCTCTCTGCATGAAAATCCATGTGTTCTGTGTATTTTATCCAAAGGTGCATCTCAGTTGTGCATACCCTTGAAAGGTACTCATTCTTCTCCCATTGATCAAAGCACATTTGTGTGCATTTTTAAGAAATTCACATTTTTCCACCAAAAAGGAAATGAAATGATTTTCTCATGCATCCCTATCACTGTGGAGTGATCTTAAGATCTTATAGATCTTAAATCTATAAGACTTATTGCAATGGGAGTTCCTTCATACATTATATGCATGAAATGGTTTTTCTTTGACTACAGGCAAGTGGGACAATGCTCCAGCGGTCTCACCCTTGAAGCTGCATAGCTTTCTATAACCCTGGTATCAGGGAGATTACATATTTGCATTTGTTCTGCACACATTGGTTTCCCTCGGAGCTGAAATGAAGTCCTCCAGGTCAGTTTCCAGCTCCCAGGGAGACCTACTTGCCTATAGACAGGCTTTCTTCATGCAAAAGCTTCTCTGAAGTACAGCTGATTGGAGGATCAGACCCACTCTCCAAAACTTAGCAATACATCTGCCATCAGATGCTCCACATCTGTCTAACCTTCTATCTAATACATACATATATCACTGAAAGATCTTTTTCCACTACAATCAAAGCAAAAAAAAAACCTGAAATGAAATGTCATTTCAAAGACGAACTGAAAGCATTATCAATATCAGTATTACATTATATTACATTTGTATCCTACCTTTTTCTTCTTGGAAGGAAGTCAACACTTAGGCATTTATTGATTTATTTTTAAGAGGATGGAGGCACTGCTTACCTTACTACTTGTGCAGGTTCAAGGCTATTGACATCGGCCACCTGCATGAGGCCCTGCTATTTTTATTTATTTATTTAGGAAGTTTCTATGCCACCCCATTCGCCAAAGCCTCGGGGCGGCTCACAACAATAAATAACATAATAACCATATACAAACAATATAATTGGAGACATCCTGGCCAAAGATGTAAAATCAATAAATAACCAGGACCCAAGCCATTAAGGGCTTTATAGGTAATAACCAACACCTTGAATTGGGCCCGGACTTCAATGGGGAGCCAGTGAAGCTGACGGAGGACTGGAGTCATGTGAACATAACGCCCAGTCCCTGTCAGCAGCCTGGCAGCTCTATTTTGAACCAATTGAAGTATCTGGACCATCTTCAAGGGCAGCCCCACGTGTAGCGCGTGTGTTGCTAGTCAGGAAGTTACCAACACGTGTGTCACTGTTGCCAGGCAGTTGTTCTCCAGGTAGGGATGCAGCTGATGGATCAGCCAAAGCTGAAAGAAAGTGCTCCTCACCACCGCTGTCACCTGAGCTTCAAGTGAAAGCTCTGGGTCGAGGAGCACTCCCAAGCTGTGGAGCTTGTCCCTAAGAGGGAGTGCAACCCCATTCAGGACAAGGTCAAGGTCCCCTTCTCCGAAGCCCGATCCACCTACGAACAAGACCTCCGTCTTGTCTGGATTGAGCTTCAGTTTATTGGCCCTCATCCAGCCCATTACCTCAGTCAGGCACCAGTTCAGTACAGCCACTGCCTCACCTGGATTGGTAGAAAACGAGAGGTGGAGCTGGGCATCATCAGCGTACTCATGATTCTGCAGCCCACACCTCCTGATGACCTCTCCCAGCGGTTTCATGTAGATGTTAAATAGCAAAGGGGACAAAATGGATCCCTGCAGTATTCCATGGCACAGCTGCCATGACTCAGTGCCATAGTCTCCCAGCATCACCTTCTGGAATTGGCCATTGAGATAGGAGTGGAACCCCTGCAAAGCAGGGCCTCCAACCCCCAATCCTGCTGGCCTATACCATGGTCAATGGTATCGAAAGCCACTGAGATGTCCAGGAGAACCAACAGGGACACACTCCCCCTGTCTTTCTCCCTGCACAGGTCATTGTACAGGGTGACCAAGGCAGATTCAGTACCGTACCCAGGTCTGAAGCCGGACTAAAATGGGTGCAGATAATCAGTTTTATCCAAGAGTGCTTGAAGTTGTCCCACCACCACCCGCTCCAACACCTTGCCCAAAAATGGGATGTTGGCCACTGGACTATAATTAGTGGCCATCTCTGGATCCAGGGACACCTTCTTCAGGACTAGTCAGACTACCACCTCCTTAAAAGGGGCAGGTACCCAGCCATCCCTCAGAGAGGCGTTAACCACTTCCAAGATCCAGGTCCCAGTCCCGTGCTTGGCATTGTTTATTAACCAAG